TGATGAATAAATATAGAAACATAGCGTTAACATAGACATAATTTTCAAATTTTTTTAGTTCTATTTTGTTTGGTTTTTTAATTATTATACAAAAGAAAACAATTTTTAAATTAAATCAGTCTCTGTTATGTAACATGGATATTATACTGTTATTAAATTCAACAATTTTTTATTTTCCAGAAATTGATGGTGAAAGTCACACTTGGTTTGGTTCTGATCGTGATTACACATATGATGAACTTTTAACTAGAATATTTGAGATAATGCGAGAAAAAAATCCTGATATGGTTGAGGGTAAAAAACAAAAATTTGTTTTGCGCCCCCCACAAGTAATACGGATAGGTTCCAAAAAAACGTCTTTTGCAAACTTTACAGAAATATGCAAAACGTAAGAATATATTTTGAATGCTTGATTTTAAGATAATATGTTTAAATAGTATATTTATTGTTTAGTTTACATCGTCAGCCAAAACATTTGTTAGATTTCTTGTTAGCTGAATTAGGTACCAGTGGTTCGGTGGACGGTAACAGCCAGCTTATAATCAAAGGTCGTTTTCAGCAAAAACAAATTGAAAATGTACTCAGAAGATATATAAAAGAATATGTTACCTGTCATACATGTCGTTCACCTGATACCATCTTGCAGAAAGACACTCGTCTGTTTTTCTTGCAGTGTGAAACTTGTGGTTCACGATGTTCTGTTGCCAGTATTAAGTCAGGTTTCCAGGTAAAAAATATACACATTATTATTGTTTGTAGTAAATCTTTCTAGGAATTTCATTATTTAACACTTAAACCTATTTCATTTAGTACAGATACTAAACTTAATGATTTACCTCAATTTCATAACAAACATAAAAAAACAAACATAATAGAATATTTTATTACCTACTGAATAAGATCTTGAATTTTATTATTTTAATATTGACCATAAAAATGCAATTGTTTTTGTATTAGCTCCATTTACTGAATTTATAAATTTTGTTGAATTATTGACAGTTAAATAAATATAGCCAATATCTTTCAGACCAGTATGATTTTAATTCATTCACTAGAAGAGTATTCCCAGCAAAACATTTCTTTAGATAATTGGAGGAATTTATATATTTTTATCTCAGTTCTTATAAAATTACAGTAGGTCATACGTTAAACGAATACCTTAGATTCTTGTCAATAATATCTGTTATCTACTAATTGAAACATTTAATTGTTTTGATTTTAGTTCGAATCAGTTCGATTCATTCTTAATAATATTTTTAACTATTCATTAAAATATTCTACACATTTAATATTTATTGTAATTTTTTATTTTGTTTACAGGCTGTCACTGGAAAACGTGCAGCTATCAGAGCAAAAACTGCATAAATACTACAATATATTTTCTCTCGCGTGCTATACTAGTTCAACAAAATATAATAAAATAAATATTACATTTTAACAAATTTCAAAAATATGTTATTATTATGATAAACATTCATTATAATAAACCCGACAAATAATTAAACAATCTAAAATTTGTATTCCAAATGTTTATTTTGCTAGTTCCATCTGTTTATTGAAACACATCTAAAAAAATAATTTACTTCTTTCTTTATTATTTATATAAACTACGTTATTATTAAAACTTTTGTAAATGTTACTGAACTAATAACAGAGAAATAATTAAAATTTGTATTTATTTTGAGTGAAAATTATAGAAGATAATTTTGAAATAATTTTTGTTTTTGTTTTTGTTTTTATTGGAATTTAATAACTTAAGAGGCTACACCCACATGTTTGTCTCATTAATAATATCTATGTCATACACTCATACTTACGTCTGTAACACGGGACAACACATGTAAATTTGGCGTCATCTTGAGTTTTATAAAATTATTTTATTTTATTTTTGTTCAATAATTTATTACATTTATGATCAGTAAAATGACTGTAAAATGATTCCCACATTTTTAATTACAATTCTTTTTTGTTCTGGTTTTTACACTATATATTTTATTAACCAATATTTTATTGACCAATCAAACAGAAGGAACTATTGAGTTGCAAAAGACTTATAGAATATAATTTTAAATACAAATATTTTTATGATACATAAATATTAGGGTTAAAACAAACCTACCTAATCTTATAACTAAGTAATTATTTAAATATAATATTTAATAATACAATGTATAATAATGAAGATGAATAATTTATGATTTTTATAGATTTTTTTTTTATTAATTAATAAAGAAACATATATTTTACCACCCATTTAAGTATCAATGATTGATTGATGCTGTTAGCTAAATTAACTTAATTGTATATTTGTTAAAATTAAAAAAAAAACACTATCATGTACTATTTTCATTTAACATATTTTTAGTTTACTATATTATTGGGATTATGTCTCTTCTGGAATGCAGATTGTCAGACTTTATTTTTAATCTTCTTTGAAATTAACTTGAGTTGTTGAGTATTTAGTATTTACTATCTAATTAATTAAAAAACGATAGGTAAATATAACCAAATAATTTAAAGGTAAAAAAATATGTTTACATACATAATTTATTTTGTAGTCTCTTCAACTATTAAAATAGTATATGGGAAACAACATTTTTATTTGTCAATGTTCTCGTTAGAAAAATTGAATGGTAGATAGAAAATTATATGATTTCAATATTTTTCTCCCAATCATCTGGCCAAGTATAGTTGTAGTAAATACAGATCTTAGTTCTTAATAATAATAACTATGCCAGAAAGCAAAATTTCAATATAATATGCAACTTATAAGTTGTTTGGGCATTTTTGTTACTAAGTCCACTAACAATATTATCATTATTATTATCATTACTATGTTATCATTATTATATTACCACTATTATGTCGCATTATTATTATTCTTATTATCAGTCAATAAAATACATTTTTGACTTCGTAGTTCGTTCAGTCCAGTTGACAAAAAACCATGTGTAGGTCTCTTTAAAACATCTCATCAAAATCCCAACGGGTATATTATACAAAACATTTTGGTCCAACGAGTCGGATTTTAATCCATTTACATCCGTTTTTATGTATTCTCGTTACGCGAAATTACATTTACTGCCATGTCAGCTAGAACGTTAAATAACAAATACAAACTCATCGTCAAGAAGAGGGATCATCTGTCTGCGGAGAATGTGTCTCGCTTAAACTCATATCAAACTAAAGTTCAATTAGAACTATTACAACAAGCGTTTGACATTTCCAGTAAAGAGTTTGAGGAGTTGATGTTGACTGTTGAAGATGAAAAGATTGATACTTACATAGAAGGATTGGAAGAAGTAAGTGACATTTGTGAACATACTAAAGCAATTTTATTATCACATATACACAAATCAGAAGAACCAAAAACACTATCACATGAAAGTAATGTACGTCAATTGATACAACTTCCACCCATTAATCTACCTACATTTTATGGCAAGTTTGAAGAATGGTACTCTTACCGTGATCAATTTATGTCAATGGTTCATGATAATCAAGATATTGATGATGTGCATAGAATGTATTATTTGAAGTCCAGTTTACAAGGACAAGCAGCCGAAGTCATTGGAACCTTATCTTTAACTGCTTTAAACTATAAGGAAGCGTGGTCGCTGCTTGTTGAACTGTATGATAATAAACGACTCCTAGTTCAAAAACATTTGCACTATTTACTATCACAACCCGTCATAAATAGTGAATCGGCAAACGCTTTAAGAAATCTGTTGGACGTTACTAGAAAACATTTATCAGCTCTTTAGGTATTAGAACTTCCAGTAAATCATTTGGATGCAATTTTAGTGCATATTGTAGCTAATAGATTACCAAATAACATGTGGCAAACCTGGGAGGTAGAAGATCGTAAGTCAACTGAGTTGCCATCGTGGCAGAATCTATGTATGTTCATTGAAAATCGCATACATGTACTTGATATTGTACAGCTAAATTTTAATGGTACTTTTAAAGGTAAACAAATTAATCGGACGACACATGCTGCGCTAACAAATGAGTCATCAACAGGCCAGGGAAAGAAATCATGTCCGGTATGTAGTCAAAGCTACCATTCAATATATCAGTGTCCAACATTCATGCAAGCTACACCTAAGGACCGTAAAACACTAGTCATAAAGGCAAGACTGTGTTTTAATTGTCTGTGGAACTCTCATCATACAAATCAATGTTCAAGCAGCAAGGTATGTAAAATTAAAACATCATACTCTTCTTCATATAACATCAGCTAATACATCACATCTCACTAGTGATAAAACATTGGCTACCAATAAGGCATCTGACGAGGAAGAGGTTCAAGTTGTCTCGGCAGAAGTGGCTAACAACGTTATGGTTCATCATGGCACTACTCAATCAACAATTACATCTACAACTTTATGAGCAATAGCCTTAATACACATACATGGTACTAATGGCAAGACAGAAATGTGTCGTGCTCTATTAGATTCTGGTTCCCGGTCTCACTTCATATCATCAGCATTGGCTAAACGTCTACATTTGAAACGCCAGAAGCATGATGTATCTGTAGATGGTATCCCTAAAGCTAACACTACAACAAATGTGCGGGAGATAACAACATTTTACATCTCATCTTGTACTACATCTAAACAATACAAATTAAATGCTGTGGTTACACCTAAAATTACAATAAACCTGCCTACAAATAAAATAGACATCTCTGAATGGAAACATAGGTATAAATAATCTACCATTAGCCGACCCAACATTCTATAAACTAGGTAAAATTGATTTGTTAATTGGTGCTGAGTTGTTCTTTAGGCTATTAAAGACTGGTCAGTCCTGCGAAAACAAAGGTTGGCCTACACTCCAGAACACTGAATTGGGATGGATTATTGGTGGTGGTTATGAACTACGGCTTGGAAACCACAACTGAAAATATCACCTGTCACACTACAGCAGTTCTATCTACTTTAGACATAGCCGTTCAAAACTTTTGGAACATTGAAGAGATACCTAGAGCTAATCATATGATTAAAAAAAAAAAAATATGTGAAGAGCTTTTTATAAAAAAACATTATAGAGAGAAAAGTGGACGTTATGTGGTACGCCTACCGTTCAAAGAGCCACCACCTGCTGTGAACGACTCCTATCAAGTAGCCGTTAGCAGAGTGAAGAGGGTTGAACGAGCTCTCAAAGGACAACCAACCTTGTGGTCAATGTATAAGGAATTTATGTGTGAATATGAACATTCTGACCATATGAAATTAGTTCAACCAGGTGAGCAACAACCTCTGATTTATTTGCCACATCATCATGTGTGTCGATTGGCCAGTTCTTCTACCAAACTAAGAGTTGTTTTCGATGGATCAAGTAAGATAGATGATGGGTGCTCGCTTAATGATCGACTATATCGTGATCATAAATTGCAAAAAAACATTGTTGATATCATCACACATTTCAGATTTCTCGCCATTGTGTTTACCGCAGATATATGTCAAATGTTCCGGCAAATACAAGTTGACAGGGAGGATCAGCAGTTTCAAGGTGTTGTATGGAGAGACGATCCATCAAAACCTATACAGAGCTACAGACTTGCAACAGTGACATATGGATTGATCACCTCACCATATCATGCCTTACGTGTCTTAAAATAATTAGCATTAGATGAACAAGACACCTACCCAATAGGAGCGCAGATCTTGTTAAAGGACTTTTATATTGACGAAGCCATGACTGGTGGTGATAGTCTAAGGGAATTGTATTGCATACAATTCATGAAGTTATTGCATTATTAAATCAAGGAGGTTTTGAGCTGCAAAAATGGGCAAGCAACCACCACGAAGCTTTGCAACACATACCCTCTGAACACTAAATTAAAGAAATATCATTCAAAGAAGATATAGACTCTACAATAAAAATATTGGGTATCAATTGGAACACAACGAATGACACATTTACATTTAGGGCGGAACCAATGAAAACTATCTCTTATCTAACAAAAAGGGAACTATTATCCGAAATTGCAAGAAACTTTGATCCTTGTGGTTGGTTGGCGCCCTTAGTAGTTATTGCAAAATTGATAATGCAGCAATTGTGGCAAGAGCGCATAGCGTGGGAAGACCACATCCCCCAACATTTATTTAACGCCTGGAATGTCATTTAAATTTTTAAACACATTTGAAGTACAACGGCACATAATGAATTCATCGGAGCGCAGTACATTTCTACAGCATGGTTTCAGCGATAGCTCTGAAAAGGCTTATGCCGCTGTAGTCTACATCGTCTCCACTCAAGAACATTCAGTACCTACGTTGCTAGCAGAAAATTATGAAAACTCTACATTTAACATTGAAGAAAGAACAGTGCAATGCAGTATGTCATTAACGACCACGTCAAGCACTTCACCAAGTTTACAACTTATGAATCGTCATTCTAATCTAGAAAGGTAATTGAGAATTGTGTCTTATATTATTCGATTTTGCAGGAACTGTAGACCTCAGGCCAAGCAGATCGTCGGTGCTGTGAGTGAAAGGCGCCAAGCAATGGAGTACTGGATACGTATAGTGCAAGAGGCAGAATTTATCATGGAACTAACCTCCCTGAGTTGACAACAGAATGTAAGGACCAATAGTCAACTTGCTGGTTTGAATCCTTTTATAGATGAAAAGGGAATACTAAGAGTGGGCGGTCATCTCAAACATTCTGAAATGGCTTATGATATGAAACATCCTATTATTCTACCAAAAAATCACTCCTTCACTACAATGATCATCAACCAAGTGTACCTACATAACCTACATTCAAGCTTGTCGGTTACTATGACCCTTCTTAGACAGAGATATTGGATCATACATAACAGGAGCTCTGTCAAAAGAGTGATACATAACTGTATTAAATGTTATCGATTTAGAAAAGCAGCATGTCACCAACTAATGTCAAATCTGCCTACATCCAGAATTACACTAGCAACTGCCTTTGAAAGAGTTGGAGTTGACTTTTCCGGGCCGTTTAATATCAAATCCAAACTTTGCTGTCGCACCTTCACAAAATCTTACATAGCGCTGTTCATTTGTTTGACTACTAAGGCAGTACATTTGGAAAAGGTAGATGGATTGAGTACTGAAGATTATATTGCTACATTAAGACGCTTTATTGCTCGTCGAGGACTCCCAGCTATCATCAGTAGCGATAACGGAACAAATTTTACTGGTACAAACAACAAATTGTGTAAGCTATACAAACTAATTCAGCAACCTGATCATCAAAACTCTGTTACATTATTCTGTCAGTCAAAGGAAATTCAGTGGAAATTCATTCCACCTGCTTCGCCTCATCATGGAGGGTTGTGGGAATCGAATATAAAGTCTGCCAAGGGTATTCTGAATAAGGTTACAGGAGACATGTGCTTTACCGCGGAAGAGCTAAACACATTGTTTTGCCAAATTGAAGCGATTCTAAATTCAAGACCACTTCAAGCTGTCTCTATGGATACCACTGATTACACAGCTTTAACCCCTGGACACTCTTATAGGAAGTCCTCTTCTAGCTTTGCCTGAACCAGAATTAACAGAAGTTCCTATGAATCGTTTGACAAGATGGAACCTCATACAACAACTTCAACAGGGATTTTGGAAACGATGGACATCCGAATATTTATGTTCACTGCAAAACCGGCCTAAGTGGTGATACCAGTGATACCAGTGATGGTCAAGTAAGAGTAGTAAAAATCCGTACTGCTGTAGCCGAGCTGACAAGCCCCATCACTAAATTAATCAAGTTGCCTATTAATCAATAATTAATTTATAATAATTTTTTTTTATTTTCTAATTATTATTGTTCATTCATATCTCACATTTTGTTACCACTTTATTTATATTTTTATAGTTATGTGGTTTTTTGTTTAAGACACTTTTTGTAATTCTGTTGAATCCCTTCATCCTCAACGGGGGGAGTATGTTTGGGCATTTTTGTTAAACAGTCCGTTAGAAGTGGACCAGGTAGAAGTGTGGCAGAATTAGTTGAAACAAATGTAGAATATGAAGATATAGATGGTGAATGGTGATATTGAAGTAATTTTTGACTGTGACAACATAATTCAACCTGATAGTGATACAGAGAATGTTGGTCAACAAAATAACCCTATTCTAATCATAGTTCCTCCTGATGGCCAATTACCAAGTTCTAGTGGAACACAAGCTATAAATTCAGAAAAAGAAGACAATATTGAAAATATAATTTTGAGTTTGAAAGTAACTGATTTTATTCAAGTAAAATATCTTTATGACAAAAATACTAAAAAATCTACCTTTAAACATTTTGTGTGCCAAATAAAAACAATAACAAAAAGTATTAAAGGATTAATTTTTATAAGCAGTTTTATGAGAGGATATAAAGGATCTAAAAGTACATTTGTTTATCCAGACGTTGAAGATATAATGGAAGTTACAGCTGAAAATATTGTCAAAAAGTTACAAATTATTCATGAAAAGAGAGGAAAGTACATGTTCAACACATTGTTACCATAAAATTAAGAATGATTATTGTTATTCTCATTGTTAAAATATGTTAATTAATATTATAATTTAAAATAAGTACCTATTCTGATTTAATAATAGACTGATATAAACTAAGTCATAACGTATTACCTGCATACCTAGGTTCCTAGTTTGTTATAATAATATAATATTGTTTTGTTTTCAACTATAAAAATATAATTTATGTGAAATATATAAATCTATAATTTAATTGTATTTTTTTTTAAATTTATTCCTTATTTTCTAATTAGTGTACATTGTCTTAAAAACAAATGCAAAATGTTTTTCTTATGTACAAAAATGCAAAGAATCTCTTAAAGAATGTATTTTTTTGCCCCAAGTTAGTCTTAAAGAAGAAAACTTGGTTTTTATATGAAAATCATATGTCTGCCCCAAGTTAAACTTTTATGGTACAACTTGGGGCAAGCAAAAATATTTAAAATAAAATATGAAGGACTTTAAGAAAAAATTTAACCTAATAATATTTTTATGAAACAAGGTAAGACCCAGATTTTTTGTTACCACATGTAATTGCCAAACTTAAACAATTTTTAAGTTATTTACAATAACAATTTTAAAGTGCCCCAAGTAACACCATTTGACGGTACTTCTGAACAGAGAACATCATGTTTTTAAGTAGGTATAAGTAGATAGGCAGCCATCTTGTTGTGTCTAAGTAGATGGTAATAAGTAAATTAATAATATATGAAGCTGTATTAGGTTTGTGCTATGGTGTATTGGTGTTATATCCAATGATTTTAAGAGTAAAACAACTTTTGTGTTATCATACTTTGAATAACATTTATTGGTGGTGTAACTGATTACTGAATGAACAAAACTGATTTAATTGAAAATAAAATTTAAATAAAAACTGTTAATACGTCATAATAATGTATGTACAAATTAATATATTAATCATAACGATTTTTCTACATATACATTTTAAGAAAACTTACCAATATACTTAATGTAGGTACAAATGTTGTGCTTTCCAAGTGGTAGGTATTATAAAATTTACATCACACTTAATAATATAAAAATAAATATAAATACATATATTTTTGATTGAAATATCAAATAAAATACATAAATATATCACAAATTAAGACTTAGGTATAATGCAATTTTAAGTTCAATGGAATATTTTTGACGAACTTAATGATTCAGCAACTATTTTGTTTGGTATATTAGGCTATTAAGGAAATTTAAACTTTCTGTATACTTAAAACGGTTTAAAACATAAACTAATTAGTTCAATTATTAATTACATTACACATTTAATATTCAACTATTTAAGTAATAGTGCTATGCTGCATGGCCACATGGTTCAGTATTTTACTTTACAAGTTTTAAAGTTTAGTATCAGTATTCAGTTTATTACAACTAATTGATTTTCCTTTACTATTATCATTAATTAATTAATATGATATCATATTTGAATCAATTCGGGAAAAAAGAGGAATTTTTACGAAAAATCGGTTTTCCAAAAAATCGATTTTGGTTTTTGGTGTAACTCTAAAAGAAATGAACGTATATACATGAAATGTTCACTGGTTGTTTATATTTGCATTTTATATACACGATAACGTTTTCAAAATATTTTGATTTATTTTGAACTGTTTAGGGACATTTTATTTTTCCATTTTTTTTTAGTTTTTTTTCTAAAAATATCAATAAAATTTTATTTGTTGGTTGCGAAAACTTGTGACCACTTTTAAAATACATTATAGATTATGTATATAAATATATTTTAATTTACTTAAATTTCTCTATAAGTGTCGTTAAAATTGCCTATTTAAAACTCCTTATTGCTGAGGAGATTTATGTGTGAATATGCATTCTGATTTAAGGTATTAAGTAGTCAAATGGCCAAATAGTCTAAAAACTATAAAGTATTTTTTTAAATGATAAGAAAAAAAATTCAAATGCCATTGTAACAATATAGTAGGAGTCTTGTATTAAATTTTCAAGCTTTTCAATCACTAAATAAAATTTTATTGATATTTTTAGAAAAAAACTAAAACAAAATGGATAATGAAAATTTGCCTTAAGAGTTCAAAATAAATCAAAACATTTTGAAAATGTTATCGTGTATAGAAAATGCTAATATAAACATTCAGTGAAATGTCATGTACCTACGGTCATTTGTTTAAAAGTTGCACCAAAAACCAAAATCGATTTTTTCGAAAACAGATTTTAGTGTAAAAATCCTTAATTTTTATTTTGTTTTTATGCCACTTCTGGGAAATTTTCACTTTAGACCCCCCCAAAGTACCAACTAGATTCACTTTCCTATCAGAAAAGCTACTGTCGCAGAAAATCCAAGCACTTTTACTGTCCTAAAACGTGAAGACAGACACAAAAAAAAAATAAAAAATAAAAAAAAACACACATCATTGTAAAATCAATACATTCATCGTTCCACTTAGATTAGTTCTATTACATTAGGAATTGGCGGGGAAGGGGTTAATACGTTTAAGTCGAAACGGCGTGTTGTCGTTGTATGCTGATATCACAGCGAATGGCGATTTTAATATTATTATAATTTATAATATAATACGTTATGTCGTCCACTGCAATATTCCTTTTTATATTATATTATTCTTTTTCTTGGTGCATCAAAATATGCAAAATAGTTTTCAAACAGTAAAATATAGGAAATAAATATCAATCGAAAAAACAAAATAATTTTCTATTTTTTTATTCTACTATTATAGAATGATACATTTTAGTTAGTTAGTTAAAAAAATTATTTTTAGTTTAAGTACTATTGTTGAGCCGGCGATCTTTAATTCCAGATATCGCCTGACACGAGGTCCTCAACACTGTTTTGGGGTAGGGCAATTATTCATAATTAATAACATAAGGGTTTATAATAATATTTGCATGTATAAATTGCAATACGAGCAATACAGGTTGATTATACAATAACAAATACAGTAGGACGAGGATCACCGACTGGGCTGACGAACTGAAGACTGGTGAGCCTGCTGCTGGATCACTGGCATCCAGATCGAACGAATGCACAGTGACGATGACTTGAAGCGACGAACGTTCAACTGCGGTCACGAGGTCGTGAGCTTAGCGATGAACTACAGACTTTACGACAACAAATTTATCTTTATCAAGGGTAATTTATGTTTAATTTATATAGATATTATATATATCATATAAATATAGATAAATTGTTGAATTTCACTTCTCAAAACAATTCGTATCTATACGCCAAGAATTTTTTTTTTGGAAACCTATGCAGTTCACATTTAAAAAATATTGGAGTAAATATAACTCTGATCACGCCGGGTGTATATATGAAAATACCAATTGGTAACAATATAATTTAAATTAGCTATAACTTTAAAATAAGTCTGACAGCCAAATGCAGACTTTTATAACCCATCGTTTTCGGCATGCTTAACTACATAGGTAGGTACCTACGTTAAAACAAAAAAACATTGAAAAGAAAGATTGTTCAGTACCTACAACAAAAATGTTCCAAACAGGTGGTAAAATATTGCGTTGTATGATCTTCAATAAAAGGCTCCTGTATATTGTCTCGAAAGCAGATGAAAAAAATTAAAAATCCATATTCATAATTTTTTTTTATAAACCTTTAAATTTCAAATATTCTCAAAACACGCAAAATTGAAGAATATTTACAAAATTATTTTGAATTAGATATACATAAAAAATTTCTTTTTAAATCTAAGATTTGAAAATGTAATACAAGATTCTTCATAAATTTGTCTATCATTATCAAAAAAAAAAAAAAAAAAAAACGTCTACAAGAAAGTACTGAAGTGTGACATCCACTTACGTGGGTCGTGGGTGTCTTAAGTTTATTTCAGGATGATATGTTGTTTGATATTAGTATTTAAGTAATTTATATATTTTTAGTTGTTTGGAACATTTTTAATAGCGGTGGTTATGTAGATATACATTGGCGACCTGCAGTAACGCTTTATAATATGTTTATTGTTTATACAAAGTGTGCTACAAATAGGTAAGTACTACCTAATAAGTGAATACATGCTAATAGAATTATAAAATATTTGATCACAGGCATAAAATTTGGATTTTTTTATACTTAATATTTAGTAACAATTTTTGAGGTATCAAATGGAATAATGATTTTTTTTTTAATAAGTTATTAGTACAGTTAATAAAATGACAATTTCCAGATTTCCATTTTGGCAGACCTCCAGTAAAAATATTCTTTTGTTAAATTGTTATTCTTTTTTTGCGATAATAACGAAAAAAAAAAAAAATAGATAAAATATTACAGTACCACCGTTACAATAATAATTGTGTTTGCATCTTGTTAACATTGGAAAACGTACTATAACATTCAAGTTTAAATTAATTCTTTTTCACCATTAAACTTCATTAATTAGAATTCAAATCATTTGTGCCTAGATAATTTCAGACTATAATTTAAATGGATATTTCTTTATCAATATCTCAAAAGTTTTATAGATAAAACATATCGTACGATTTCCTTCCATTGGCCACATTGGCTAGTTGGGGAAGTGCACTATAGATACTAGCAATGCTACCCCGCCAATTTCCGACTTATTATGTTATGTGAATATGAATTTTCCTCCCTTTATTTTATCAGTTTATCATTGAAAAATGACGAATGGATCTTCGCAGGAAAAAACTCCGGATCCATGACGTCATTAGTTGTGTTTTTAATATTGTCCTTATCAAATGTTATGGTGATTAAATTGTTATCATAAATATAATATTATCATCAACCATAGATATATTATTTAATAATTATTTTATGATAATTACACGTGCTAATTACATACATTTTAAAACACAGTAAGTACATGTTCTTAGTAAAATAAGTTGAAAACAAATATATCATTGTAAAACTAATACATTCATGCGTTCATAAAAAATGTCACTTAATTTAAGGGAAGTCATAAAAAAATAAATTATACACACATATATTAAATCTAAATCTACAACTAAATCAGTAGGTT